AACTGAAAATGACCAACTATCAATAAAAAAAATTACAGCTTTAGAGGATCACAATACCTGCTCAGGCTAGCAACAGTTAAGCCACGGTCTATAGCTTCTTTGCAGATATGAGAACCAACAAATCCATTTCCACCCAATACAAGCAACTGCATTGGCTAGCATATCAATTAAAATATACAAAACAATAAACTAGAAGATATCAAAAGCGCCAACTATGGTTCATTATCCAGCATACCTTCTCTGTCGAGGGTGGAGGTACATTCACTGTCTCAGCCTCCTCAACTTTAAAGGGTTCATCAACCTTATTAGAATCAGTTGATAGATATCTCCCATTTCTTGATGCAGCAATTGTACTTATTCAAAAAAAATTAATAAACTAATCAGAAAATGCAACACCTTCACATTTGGTAACGCCACAAAATCATACATTCAGTTGCCATCAATTATTCCATTCGCAAAATATCTGCATGCAAATAAAAGAAGAAAAGCCCCAAGGATCATTGCCAATTCCCAAAACATCCCTTTTTTTTTCATTTTTGGCATTTACCAATAAAAAGAGAAGCTTCTAAACACTCACAATCATACAATTCTCAAATCAAAAGCACCCCATGTCTTCAAGGAAATCACTAACTCTTAAAATTCCCTTCAAGAGACAAGTAAATAACACAATGTAATCTTACAAGAAATCAATGTCACGCAATATTAAAGAAAGAACCCATTTTTTCCCTAAATAGAAAATAAATCACAAAAATAAATTTTACATACTTATCAATATAAATAATTCTTGACATAGCAGGAGGAAAAAAAAACCCAAGAAAGGAAACGAAACGTACTATAATTTGGAGAGGGAAGTTCTTGATTGGATCAAACGTGAAGCAAGAGGAGTCATTTTGGTGATTTGATCATAAGAGAGTTTTGGGTTCTTGAAGGATCTGCTTCAGTTTTTCTACTTCTTCCTTCGCTACCAAAAACAACGAGCACGGTCCAACTTCCAAGGCGAAAGAGAACACATGGCGCTTGATGGAGGCAGGTCTTGGTGCCTATGTGGCTTGACGTCAACCTTCAGTTTTGTGTCATGTTTTTTTATTATTATTATTAAACGAGAATCGGTAGTTTGATTGAAAAATCGAGGACAAACGATAACATGTCTGCCTGCGTCCATTTGGCATTGTGATGAAATGTGATCGCAGCTGTTTTAATAGTGATTATAATTTTCAAAGTTATTTGATTTTCTTTTTTTTTTCATTTAAATTATAGTCTAAATTTAAATTTGATAAAAACTATAATTTTTAATTTTAAAAAAAATATATATCTTTTCAAATCACAACCTTACTACTATTTAGCAATGTAGTATCATAGAGTATTGCATTAGTATTGCATTATTTTCTATAGTATTAAATAAATACTTAATATTAAAATAATATTTTTATATATTTTTATTTTTTATATTATCATAATAAAATTATCTAAAAATATCAAAAAATACTAATTTTATTTTTTTTAAATAAAAAATAATTTAAAAAATACTTTTAACAATAAATATTCACAGGATATAAAATAAAATTAAGGTGACCATATTTGTTTTTGCGTTTCAAAAATGTTTTTGAAAAACTTTAAATACATTTTATTTTTTAATTTATTTTAAATTAATATTCTTTGATATTTTTAGATCATTTTGATACTTTAATTTTAAAAATATAAAAAAATTATTTTAATATATTTTTAAATAAAAAATATTTTAAAAAATAATTTTAACTGCACTTCTAAACATGCAAGAACTAGTACATATGAAGTGATTAATATAAAAAGTATGATTTTTATCTCTGAATTCAATAGTATTTTAGTTATCTTATCCTTCTTTTAAAAGCAAATAGGTAAAAGAATACTCCTACTTACAATGTATTATTTTTTACCTCAAAAGACATATTAATAATATTCTAAATGGTGTGGGAGAATTATTATTTTCATATACACAATGTATTGTAGATTATAACAATAATTTATAGTGAATTCCTTCTTTTTATATATATATTTTTAATTATTATTTTTTTTCATAGATTACTTTTTTTTCAACTTTTCTATTTTTTTTCTTTTTTACTTTTATTTTTTTCTCAAAATTATTTTTATTGATTTTAATTTTTAAATATTGACCTGGTTAAAAAAATTTATTTGTAACTTGTTTATTTAAAATACTATGAATTGATGTGATGTTTTTCCATATAGTTTTTTTATTTATTTTTTAAAATTATATTTGTCGATGTTTTTTAATATTAAGCTAATTAAGAATTTAGTTTTGTAATTTTTTTCTTTTAAACATTGTTAATTGCTACAGTATTTTTTCAAATCGTTTTTTTATGATTTTCTCTAAAATTATTTTTTATTTTATTTTTTAATATTGAGTTAGTTAAAAATTACAATTATAATATGTAAGAAAAACACTTTAACTTTCTTCAAAAATTATTATGGATTGCTATAGTATTTTTTTTCATATGATTTTTTTTTGTTTTTGCTGTATTTTTTTCTAAAATTATTTTTGTCAATTTTATTTTTTAAATATTAAATTGATTAAAAATTACAATTATAAGTAAGTACTCTAAATGATGTGGGGGAATCATTGTTCACCCAGACAATGTATTGTGGAATACAACAGTAATCCATAGTGCATTCCTTTTCTCTTTTTTTTTCAACTTTTTCCTCTTTTTTTTCTAAATTACTTTTTTTTCAGCTTATCTATTTTTTCTTCTTTTTTTTTTTGTATTTTTTTCTCAAAATTATTTTTATCAATTTTACTTTTTAAATATTGACTTGGTTAAAAAAAATTCTTTGTAATTTGTTTGTTAAAATATTGTGGATTACTACGGTGTTTTTCCACATAATTTTTCTATTTTATTTTTTTATTTTTTAAAATTATATTTGTTGATTTTTTTTATATTGAGATGATTAAGAATTTAATTTTATAATTTAAAAAAAAACATTGTTGATTGTTACAGTATTTCTCTGCATGGTTTTTTTTATAATTTTCTCTAAAATTATCTTTTTTATTTTATTTTTAATATAAAGCTGACTAAAAATTACAGTTGCAATATGTGAAGAAAACACTATAACTTTTCTCAAAAATTACTGTGGATTGTTACAATATTTTTTCTCATATGATTTTTTTTCTGTTTTTGTTATATTTTTTCCTAAAATTATCTTTATCAAATTTATTTTTTAAATATTAAGCTGGTTAAGAATTGCAATTATAAGCAAATACTCTAAATGGTATGGGGAGAATCATTGTTCCCCCACACACAATATACTGTGGATTACAAAAGTAATCTACAGTGCATTCCTCTTTTTTTGTATTTTTTTTAACTTTTCCCTTCTCTTTTTCATTTTTTCTCAAATTATTTTCTTCTTTTTTTCAACTTTCCTATATTTTTTTATTTTTTTTTTCAAAATTATTTTTATTGATTTTACTTTATAAATATTGACCTTGGTAAAAATTTTACTTTGTAATTTAAAAAAACTATATTGTGAATTACTGTAGTATTTTTCCATATAGTTTTTATTTTACTTTTTATTTTTCAAAAATATATTTATCAATTTTTTTTAATATTGAGCTAATTAAGAATTTAGTTTTGTAATTTTTTCTTTAAAATATTGTTGCTTGCTACAGTGTTTTTTCGCATGACTTTTTTATAATTTTCTTCGAAATTATCTTTTTTATTTTATTTTTTAATATTGAGCTAGTGAAAAATTAAAGTTACAATATATGATGAAAGCACTATAAGTTTTCTAGAAAATTACTGTGGATTGATATAATGTTTTCTTCCACATGATTTTTTCTATTTTAGTTATATTTTTTTCTAAAATTATTTTTGTTAATTTTATTTTTAAAATATTAAGCTCGTTAAGTGACACGACTAAAAGATTGATGTCTTCTCCCAAGTGCAGGAGTGTCAAAGTAATAAATAACCCGGCAAGACCGGGGTCGAACCACAGGGAGGTTAATTGTACAAATTATAAACAACAAT